TTTTAATAGTGGGTGAAGAATAAACATGATGTGTAACCACGATCATGCTGACCAATCGGATATTAGATTTTGGGAACGTACACCATTTCTTTCTTGACTTAGTCATACACTTCATGATTTCATCATTGTTCCTCGTATTTCTGTTGAAGTATCCTAAAAATCCCATTGAAGTATCTGAAAGTAAGACTAATTTTGGATAGTTTAATGGGGTTTTAGGATACTTCAACTGGACTTTCATAAAATTAGGTGTTTCTGAAAAATTTGCCAGAGGTGTCAATTATACTATATTTGATCCAGCATGTTTTTTAATATAAATATTCCTACGGATAAAAATTATATTATACATTGTATCCGGAAATGGAACGACCTCTATACTTAAAATAAAAACAATTTTACTATAATATAAAAATAAAATTGAAAAATATTTAATACAAGCATTCTTACGTAATTCTGATTCAATATAAGGTTGATCCTTGTGCTCAGTGTGCAATGAATAACCAAGATAACCTAAAATTGACGAACTTATGGGTTGCCTTATAACTCTATTAAATTTCCAGTAATATGACTATAAAATTTTAAAATAAGTAAATTTGCAAAATTATGACTTTTAAATTTTTAAGTATACATACAATTCTATCATTTTTAGGTTGCGATAACAAATGCACTCGAAATAGGTGATGTTTCAAATGCGGTTAGTGGATAATTAAAATTTATATGTAGATCATATTCTAAATCACACAAGTAATTTCGTATTATTATCGTTTTAGAACTCAAATATGCTGTTGATTTTATAAGAATCTTGCCTGCATCATAGGCTTCCATTATCAAGGATGTTTGGTTGGAAGAATTATATCCAGGGTCGGTGATAAAAATATAAAGCGTAATCAGAGGGAAATCACCAGGAGTCAAAATATAATTTGGTATAAATGTTCCAACGTAAGGCGAAGTAAACGGAGGATATAAAGAACCATTATATTTAGTCGGATTGATAAAATTAGAGCAACTAGTAAAATTACTATTAGATTCTAAAATAATGTGAGTCAGATATGTACAGTACATAATATAAAATTATCATAAAAGAACTGGGTGAAACCGCTCTGTGTAAATTAGTAAAATCCGCTACGTAGATTACGTTAATCTTTTCACCTTCATGTGATTCACGTAGCTGATTTTACTAATTTGATTTGTAGTGCAAATTTCACCCTGTTGTGTTAGAAAAATAATTAAAATATTTACTCGAATTTAAAAACCAAGAGCAATAAATAGTAAAATTATAATTATACGAAAAATAGATGTCTACATTGATTTAAATTGATTAATGTTATAATTTTCTGATTTATTATTTTTAACTTAACAATTCTTACTTGGTAAGGGCAATTCATCGGATGTGATGTATTGAATACTAATATTAGGCTGTTCTTTAAACAAATCGATACATAATAATAAAAAACTTGCAGATAGTATTACTATAAATAAGATGATAACAAAACGTTGAATTTTTATAACCGGCTCTAGATCGTTTACGCGTTTTCGAAATAAGTCATTTAACAATTTATCTATCGCTAAGATTCTATTTTATTGCAAGAATGAGAGATATAATTTTTAATTTTGCATTTCTTTAAATATTAACAGTTTGTATAAAATTGGTCATGAACCAGCAACAAATGAATATCTTAAAAAGGATACTTTTTGCTTTTTTTGATTTTATAATGCTAATCTCCGATATGGCATAATATTTACAATTTGGGTAATTCTTTTTGAACCCAAGTAATCCTTCTTTTGATCTTAATAAAAGTTGTTCAACAGGCCTTTCCGGTTCTAATGATAGTAAAATCATTATACTTTGATCTAATAACAGTAAGACTTCAATCGAGGTGTGGAAAGATTTGGTCCAAGTAACTAATAACAAGTACTTAAAATGTCATGGCGATAAGAATTTTGAGTTATTTACGATTTCTTGCATTGTTTACCACAATTTCCTGGAATTCTATTGGTTCCGATGTAGATCGAAAATGATCTTCAGCCCGGAATTTGGTCAATCGTCATAGGTTTCG